ATACGTTATTTATTTAATATTACAATGTATTTTCTTTATATGTTTTTTTTTTTGTCAATACATAACATAAATATTACGATTTTTTTTTCTCTGTTTCTTTAATTGCGTAGAAACATTTAGATTTCAACCATACGAAGATCAAGAAAACTTTGAAGCAGCTGGAAGCCCCTCAACTTTTTTAAAGTTAAAAATACTGAGCATGAGAAAGTTTTTAAGTTTATCACCCAAACAGTCCCTATCGGATGTGAATAAAGAAGGCAACTCATCAAATACAACAGAAGTTTTTCCAACATCAAAGCCTATAGGTAAGTACGGGCAGAGGCGTCGAGAGCCAGCCCAGGCCCCGGGGTCAGTAATATCATTGGGCCCCACTTTCATTCTGTTTATTAACTTTTACTGATTATTTATAAAATAAATTTAAGTGACAATTTTCTTCATGAATCCATGAAAAAGCAGTAGCCATTTTAGCTCATTAAGTAGCATGCATTTCTTGTGAGCTTTGGAATATCCCACTGCCGGGCCCCTCAAAAGACCCTGGGCTAATTTGAAAAGAATGAACAAAATTTAGAGAAAAGAAGAAAGTTCTTGGTTGTCAGCATGCCAACCCAAGTGCATATCATCATATTAACGAAATAGTTTACGAGGACGTAAGCTATTATATTTGTATTTACGTTGGAAGTATTTAAACTTTTCAAAATGGCGTTCAAAGTAAAATACACGTAAATGTAGCTTCATGTTAAAAGATTCCATTTACATTATATTTAACAATAAAATAAGGGATTTAGAATATTTGATATTTCAACAGAAACACGAAAACCTTAAACAAAAATAAGTGCTAATGAAAAGTTTCAACAAAAACGAATGTATCTCAGAACTTCAATGATGAAACCCAGTACATATTTCAAGTGATATAGCGCCAGCGTGAGCTAATGTATCCCAGGACTGTAATAATCAACTATATAGTAAATTCGGGACCTTATATCTGCTTCTACAAGTCACAAGATGAAATCTGTTTCAAAATTGTCTTGTTGATTTTATCCAGTTTCTGAAGTTTTATGAATGTGTATATAATAGTGCAAATAGCATACTTTAAACACTTCTTCTGTTATTATTTTACGTAATTTACTCTAATATTTCAGCATATTTCTAATCACTTACTCGCTATAGGAGAACCCGAGGCTAGTGAATCAACGCATCAAAGTATTGTATTATTCTATTATTGAGCCTAGGATGGTTATAGGTGAAAGGAGGGTTACGTAATTTACTCTAATATCTCAGCATATTTCTAATCACTTACTCGCTATAGGAGAACCCGAGGCTAGTGAATCAACGCATCAAAGTATTGTATATTCTATTATTGAGCCTAGGATGGTTATAGGGGAAAGGAGGGGGGTGGTCATAGGATTATTTCGGTAGATCTTGATGAATGAAGCTCGGCACAATTTCTAAAATGAAAACAAAAACAACTAAGCAATGAAAATATTATACGATTAAATCTATATGGATTATATTATGGTTGTATCATGCTGGACATTAAACCATCCTTCTTATATTTACCCTTCACTACAGAAATGGCACTGTTAATTTGAAAATCGCTAGGGAAACTATCTTGTAATACTTCGTACATTTGCTTCAACTTCAACACTGCACTGTGCTGTTAGTTTCACAAAATACTGAAACTAATTATTTCTTGTATATGATTCCAATCCTCCTTTTAGAAAATAACGCACTATTGTGCCCGTTTTTTTATGTTTTGCTGTCAATGCAGTAATTAATCGACGAATCTCCGACTCAGCTGGTATGTCAAATCAATTGTGATATTTTCGAATACTTTCTTCCCTAATCCGATTTGGATCCACGGTTTATCTTAATCGCTACACTTAAACCATCACATTCACAACCACATCTAGAACGTTTCGAGCATGTTTCATTGCTACATCGTTGTACTTTACATTTACAAGATAACTTCTCCATGTTGGCTCTCGTGACCTCGGGTCAGGTCACGGGTCTGGTCCAGCGACCTAGACCCCATAATAGTACCAAACGTCTTCTTTTTTGTTTAACCAAAATAACGCAAACTTTTCCGGAATGATTCATTTTTTGGATCCACACCAAGATGCTGGGCTGGCTCGTGTGGCAGGTGTTGAACCTAATGAAACAGCCTTGAAAGTCCTTGTAGCCCAAATATTCTCATACAGCTGCTTAAAACATTGATAAACGAAAGTCTTATGATTACACCATTTATTCTCTTTGGTTATCCGAACTTTGGTTATCAGAATAACGAGAACCATTTGTGAAGTAGGATTTGTTTTTAAGGACAAAGCTACATAATGGGCGATCTGTGACGAAAGCCTTATGATTAAACTATTTATTCTTTTCCTAATACACTTTAATGAAATTACTGTTAATTTCAACTGTGCACAAAGCTACATAACGAGCGATCCGTACTGTGCCCACCACGAGTGTCGAAATCGCTTACTGCTGAGTCACTGGGGGAGCCACTTATGAAGACATGCAATATTAGTCACTAGTCATTGCGAAACAGTTCTCTTTATTTTAAAAATAATTTGAATTTGCGCCTAATTTCACCGAACAGAATCCTTCGCCTTTGATCACCACTCGTATTAATTTCTATTTATCTGATAATGATAGTAAAAAAAAAAGCATATTTAAGACCAAAAATGTTTACTCATCTTGACGACATTTAATAATCAGGTTTCAGACTATTTCAATGCTCTGTTTCTGTAAAAGAATATCCATTTCAGTGTACCAAATAGTTACATTTCGGTAACACACTTACTATACCCACTTAAATAAGTTATAAAGCTTTATGTTTTGCTGGGCCAAATATCGTCAATTTCATTTTACTTATTTACGCACTGTAATATAATGTGCGTAAAACCAACAGATCAGTATTAATTCCATTCTTAACCATGGAAAGATAGAAATTTGACCACAGTTGATTAACGTATTCAAACTTTGTTCTTCCAGCAATATATCCCTCCAAAAAGTATTTTATGTTACTAAAATTATGTACTGTTGGGCGTAAAAAAGTTTGTTTGTATGGTTGGTTATTATTAAGCATAAAATTGCACAGTGGACTGTTTTTTGGCCATCGTGTGTATTGAAACAGTAATTTTAGGTTTGTGAACTTTGCCGCGAATCACCGGAACCATGTAAAAAAATACTGATGATTAGTTAAAGAACTTATTTTCTGAGTTTATAGCAATTTGAAACAAAAAACTATTAGACTTTAAACAGCTAATGGTTTTTCGAGTTTTAATACATGTTTGGTATAGTTTCGTTGTTTAAGCATTCCTTGAATGGCTATTTTGTTTGACCATATTATTTAAAAAATAATAATGTACGCTGATTGTTCCTTTTTATATTACATTTTGATTTAAACATGCAAAAATAGTGTCAAGATATGAAATTTAACTTACGGCTAATTGAGGGATATCTGATATACAATATCAACACCAAACACCACCAAAATTAGTACAAATCACCCTTTTTTCTTCTGTTTTGTCTTTCACTAAAAAAAAATAAAATTGAGATGATGACATTTCATAAATTGTTATTGCAAAAGCTATGAAATTTAACTCCAAATGTATTGTATTACAGACATGACCGACTGTCTTATGGCTATAAACAATGAATACGAGTCTTTTGATCTGGAAGAAGAGTCAAAACCTACAGATGGTCAGTTCTTCAGGGTACTGTATGAATACAAATCAGAGGTAAACCAGTGTTTTGGCAAATTCAAAACATTATGTATTTTTTCTTACTTATTAGTTTTTGAATTCAACTAACTATAGTACTTCTCTAAGAACACATGCAAACATTTTATTTGCAAAATTTAAATGTTTAAATTGTTTTTAAGGATGTACTTATTCTAAATGTTGATACTTCATTAACTTTTCTAGCAAAATCATTACGAGAAGTTTGCTATAATTTTGTAATCGGTTTAGTAAAGGTCAATAACCCCTATAAATATTAACTAGTACTGTAACATAAGCGACGAATACACGCTTCTACTTGACAAACGTTGATTAAAATATGTATTTTATGGGGTGTTTTTCATCCATAAAAAATCCTACTATTAAGCGATAGAAATGTGACATTGTATACCGATCTAAAATATATAGATGTTTCTTTTTTATTATTTTTTTTAAATTAGAATGAAAGTGTCATATCCGTTCTTGAGAAGGATGTTGTACGCCTTCTAAGAAAGGAAAACAATGAGTGGTGGGAAGTAGAAACAAAAGATGGAAGACAAGGCTATTTTCCTGCAAATTACTTGGAACCATCGATATGCTCACCTACCGAGGAAACTTAGAACTAAGGAAATATTCAAATAAAAACTATTTAGACTTAATGATTATAGCCCCATTAATAACATTATGTTCCCACACAAATGTATGACTACTGTGTAAAAAATAATTATTTAGAAGATATTTATGTGTGTTATTTTTTGTTGACACACTTGTCTTCCGGTGTGTCATCAGTAAGTTTACTTGTAATTCCCCCTATTATTTCTCACAATTCATAAATTAAAACTATTTTTCTCATACACACTGGCTTGTCGTCTTACTGGAAACTGCTGTCTCTATAGATTTATAATCGTGTGAAAATAATGTTGATCATGTTACCTGTCAGGTGGTTGCTTAAGCCATATAAAAGCAAGACAATGAGAAGGATCAAAGATCTCTCAGACTTTTAAAGACCTGTTAAGCCCACTTAGCAGAAGCATTGTTATAAAAATGTTTAGTTGAGTGACTATTTGAAGTCTATCATAAAAGACAACTGAAATAGAATAATATACACACCTCTGTGAAAACTGTGGCCGCCAAACGCTGGAGAACATATTGGGGGAAAAGATTGAACGATCACGTATAGGTGTGCAACAAATACCAGACTATTTCTCAAGTAACTGATGTTTTAAACAATGGTTAAGACTAGCTTCAAACTCAGCATGCGAGAGATGTTATCAATACCAGACTGTTTCTCAAGTAACTGATGTTTTAAACAATGGTTAAGACTAGCTTCAGACTTAACATGCGAGAGATGTTACAAATACCAGACTATTTCACAAATAACCGATGCTTTAAACAATGGTTAAGACTAGCTTCAGACTTAGCATGCGAGAGATATTACACCCAGAAAACAATCCAAAAATTCCTTATCTTGTATGCAGAAGGGAGATACGCCAGCACAGGACTCAAACTGTAAACAACGAATTACTAGAAGCGTACAATATTTATCACTCATCTCTGTTCTAATAGTAGAGTTAAAGTAAGGGGAAAACATATGTGGAGACTCTACATGAATTGCTCTGACAATACAATCTGCTGAAGATGAAGTAGTGATGTTGGCTTAGAAAAAAGAATAACATCCATAGTGTGCGTGAACGCTTTTGCCAATCAACTCCACCCCACAAGTCATCCATTCCCACCCACATATACAAGGAAATTGGTCAGAATATGTAAGAGTATATTCAGTCATTTTGCTTGACCAGTAAAATGATCGGATCTCCATGCCGTCTTGCATCTTTTGGATTAACGCTAATGTCACATTCGGTCCCGTAGTCTTCTGCTGACATCCCTGAATTACTTGTGAACTACCCTCCACTACTAATGGGTTGTCATCGAACAAGACACCTTCTGTCAACTCTCGCAGACAAGGATGTCACCATGGTAAAAGATGGTCCAACCAAACACTGGGTGTTAATAATTGCATATATATCTATAACAACAAACTGTCATTCATCCGTTCATTACCTCATTATATGATTACTTCCTGTCGATATATGTTAAGAATACTGTTGGTTCTCCTCTTTATCGTCAGGGTTTCCTTTTACAATTACTTCAATATTTAATTTATATATATATATATCTAATAACGAAAATAATACATCTACAAGTCTTCACTTAGTTATCTCAGTTGATTGGTATTTTAGAAACAGAAGACCTCTGACCTGACCCTGAATTCCCGACCCTGCTTCTTCAAATGTGTTTTGCCCATTTACACCTCTAACATTCTTAAAAGCAAGTTGAATGACAATATTATATGTTTTAATATGTTTGGTTTATTTTTCTTATGGAACAATAATGCCGACATTACAACACTAAGTATAACCTCTCAGATAGAAGAGTTGTGAAAATTTTGTCTGTAACTGAGATATATATTCTTACAGAGAGGGATTTAAAATGCTAATGTAATTAAATTAGAGTAGCAGAATGGGTGATAAATAAAAATGTATCATTGCCATAGCACCTATGTTCAAATAATATATGTAGCAAGGGCAATGAGGAGTAGTTTTCATTTTTTTATGTAAAGTACAAACCAGTAGGAAATGTAATACTGATTCCTAGACAATAAAGTTACCACAATAACTACAGGAAGAAACTAAAGCGTGAAAAGCAGAAAATAGGTGTCTCAAAATATGACAAACGAGAAAGATAAAAAATGAAGTTCCAAATGATAGTAAGCATGAGAGATGGAAAATGAAGGTTCCAAAAGATGGTGAATAGGGCCACAGAAGATGATAAGCTTGATAGGTAGAAAATTAACTTGTCAGAAATGACAAAATTATTGGAAAAATGCCTACTTTATTTATCATTTTCATAACCTTTTAGGTACAGAACCTCTAATTTATGGCACCTAACAACTATATATTTCTAAGAAGCAAATTATAAGATTACAATAATTATAGGTTTAGTGTCACAGATGAGGTTTGAATCACCTACTTCTAAAGTATTGTTACATCTGAACAATTTCAAAAGTTGTAATATTTGTCAAGTATTGTATTTCGTGAAATGAATCCTGCCGTATCTGGTATGAATTTACTACACTAAAAACAACCTACTATATCAAACAAATAAATCTTTTATCACGTGTGACACTACGAGAATATTTACTTTAAATCATAAATATATATATATAATTCAATTTCCCACGAATGTCTTATCAATACAATAATTATCTATACTGATTCATTATTATGCTTAAACATAATAAAATTTACATATATATATACATACATATATATATATATATATACATACATATATATATATATATATACATATAGTTGTAATATTTTTAATATTATTTGAGGAACTGTCACAAGATATAAAACTGTTATAAAAGTATCTGTATAACGCTGATGATCGTCTAATAACAAAATAACAGTTTACATGTCAAATGCCTGATCAGAACATTTTTAGCTGCGGCACAGTGGCTCATAGAATGGCTCCGAGTTTGTTTTTTGTTTTATCCAAGTACAAACTTTTAGCTCATAGCGCCATCTCTTGACCGATTTTATATCTAATTACAGCCGCGGCTATCAAATATTCCTTCGTGTTCCTTTTAAACAGAACTAGACTAGTTCCATAAGGTTCATCTTCATTTACACAAGTTTGAGGAAGATGTTTGTTTATTTATTTACTTTTAGGAACACATTTGTTACACACCTTGTCTTGGTATTGAATATGAACCAAAAGCATATTTTTAGGGTTAGTATTATCACTTAGAGATTGATTGTTTCGGCACACAACTACACAATAGACTATCCACGCTCTGTTCACCACAAAGGAATCGAACCCCGGATTATAGTGTATGAACATCCGTAATCTTACCGCTTACCTGCATCATTTGAAAAGCATTTAATACTACACGTTTATGTTATTGTCATCCTATATCCATTTAAGTAGGCATAGGCAAACTTCACAGATCATTGATACTTTTGTTAGTTTGCATAATTGCAAGATTAATCGCATGGGAAACTAATTTATATACATACAATGAAGAAGAAGTTCTGTAAGGTTTCCGCTGTGTTTAAGTAATAAACATTACTTCGTTTATCAGAAAAGTTAATCACTAACTAATGATGGGAATTTATGTAAAAACGTTCTGTATGTTTCTGAGACTTCGTATGTTTACTCAAAGCACATTGCATAAAATACGAGGGCGAAATGTGACAAAGGTATAAAATTTAGACGAGGATTCTTGTTAATTTACGATTATCATTAAAATTTACAAAAATTATCCGTAAATTGTTCGAAGTTAAACACAAAGGGCTATCTGTGCTCTGCCCACCACGCGTATCAAAACCCGGTTTCTAGTGTTGTAAGACCGCAGACATACCGCTGTGACAATGGGGGGGGGGGGGCTATCCGTAAACGTTATTTCACTAAGGATCTATATAAATCTTCTTAGAGATAGTATGTTGTGTTTTTTTTTCTTTTTTTTTCTTCAAAATGTTTAGTGGATACTGAAAGAATTTAGACATTTTTGACGATAGGAAGAGAAAAAATACGGTCTTTACTGTCCAGATAATAATAACAAAAAAAAAAACGCATTCGATGACGAGGAACCCACTTTGAGACTAATAATGGTTGGAGACGGCTTGAATGTGTAATGAAGAAATACTTTAATATAAGTTTAACATAACAGCAAATGTACAACGTTTCGACAAG